GTTGAGCATCCGACTTCAGCTCAGGTCATGATCTCGCAGTTGACAAGTTCGAGCCCCGCATTGGGCTCTGTGCTGACTGCTCAGAGCCTGGAGCCTGCTTCAGATTCTGTGTCTCCCTCTCTCTCTGCCTCTTCCCCGCTCATGCTCTGTCTCTATCTGTCTCAAAAATAAAGATAAACATTAAAAAAAAAAAAAGAAGTATCACCTATCAGAGATAGTTACATGTGATAAGTCTAGAGAAGAGGTAAAAAGGATGGAATAGTTACACAGTGTGCCAAGATGATATATATTCATGATTTTGCATAAGAAGAAAGGAGGAACTGATTATTATACTAACAAAAAGCTTGTAAAAATGTTATCAAATATTTCAGGGTATAAAATAATTCTAGTACCATTTCTTTCTACCGATTGTAGATTCCTACACAATACTCATTCCTCATGTTCTGCATTTCCACTTAATAAACTGATTTAAGTTCTATTCAGAGTAGATGATGCATCATGCAGAAAAATTAAATGAAGGCACTTGATTTTTTTGAATCCTGCCTTGGAGATTGACCTCTGAATCCAGGTGAAATGCCCTGATCGGTCGGCAGATGGCACCATTGGGACATCGATAAGCTAGGTTCATTTTGCACTGACAGGCAGCAATAAAGATCCTGGAACTGAACTGAGAGGATGAAGAATGGTTGAAATGATGATTAGTACCATGTGAGAAAGGCCTGGGAAGCAAAATGGTTTTCTGATAATACCACCATGTATTCTTTTTCTAGAGAAGCAGCTTCAAATCACTATCATTTTTACATGTTGGTGCCACTATGTGCATTGTTCTGTGTGCCACAGAAGTAATTTAGGTAAGAAGAGAGAAACCCTTAACGGGAATATGGCTGGCAAAGGTTACAAGACCCCACACTGCATTTACAGAATGCAAAAGAAATACTGTGATGCTAATGCACACACCTGCCTTAGCCCATAACTTCGTTATTCCCCCCATTAGCCACCAAAGAAGGAAGGGAATTGGACATTTCCTTTATCATAGAAAGAGGCTACATCTCCTTTATCAAGAAGCCCCAGGGACTAATTTTAGCCTAGAAATTGTGTGGTGGTAACACGTTACCAAGTTTTAGTTTCAGCAAAAGGAAACAATCCAGGGAATTTCTTAGCTACAGGATATTATCACCATTCTTTGATCAACGTATAGCAATAGATACTGTTGGGTATTGCAAAGTCCCTTCTGATAAAACGATAAATGAAAACATTCACAAAATTCTGAGTCTTGAGAGAATGTGTAATGCCATATTTCTCTGTGTTTGATTTTTTTAAAAATAAATTTACCCCGGTAAATGTTCCTTTAATAATGGGAACTTTTAGGACACCCACTTGTACTGGGGAAATTGTTCTATGTCCTCTGAAATGTAACCTTTGCTACCTAAAATGGTTTCCTACTTGGTTACTTTGGTTGACAATTGGTGGCATGAGTTATAGTGCTTAAACATAAATTTGTATTTTTTTGAAAGTATCACTATTTGAAAATTGTATTTTTGGGCAGAATTGTTTTCCTCTTTTTAGTTCAAAACCTCAGAAACTTCCTGGTGTAATCTGAAACTGGGAGAGAGAAGGAAGAGCCTGCCCACTCCAGATTGCAAGGGAACTTAACATACAAGGCTTGTCCTAGGTGATAGCAAGGCCAGTACATCTCCATGCCTGCTCCCTACATCTGAAATGTTTGTACAGAGGCCTTAACTGGGTTCAGTGACTGGTACCACCCATGTGATTATATAGGTATGGATGAAATGGCCTTATGAAGTAAGTGAAAGGATTAAACATGACAGTTTAGGGGCATCTGGGTGGCTCAGTTGGTTAAGTGTCCAACCCTTGATTTCGTCTTGGGTCACAACCACGTGGTTTGTGGCTTTGAGCCTTGCATCAGGCTCTGCACTGACAGTGTGGAGCCTGCTTGGGATTCTCTCTCTCTCTCTCTCTCTCTCTCTCTCTCTCCTCCTCTTTCTCTGTCCTTCCCCCCCCCCACTCTCTCTCTCAAAATAAATAAATAAATAAAACATGATGGTTATGATAGTGAACACTTAAGAAACAATATTTCCACCTGTAGGTGAAGTGCATTCTGAGGCTGTAACATGGATTTTTTTGGTTGCTACTTTAATTGAGACGGTTATCTATATTTATTGATGTGGAAAATGTTCAGGGAATAGGAAAATTAGAGTACAAAGTAATAACTACAATATTACGTCACGTGTAAATTTGTATCTATGTGGGCTTATATATGTGTGTTTGGTGGAAAGTTGTCCACCAAATTATTATCAGTGGTTCTTAACGGATAATGAGATTTTTAATGGATAAAAAATATTGGGGGGGGGTTTCTTTACTAATGCATCATTAGCATATTACTATTAAAAATTATGTAGTTTTTTTTTTTAAAAGCAAGTCCTCTTGAATGAATCTTCTAGTAATTGTCCTCACCTAATGTGACTGGAATCTCCTGAGCCCACTAGATAAAGCTAGATTAAAGGGAAGGAAGTTCAATGAACTCTAAATATATACTCAAAAGTGAAAAAATGATTAAAACCAAAAAAAAGACTTCCAGGGAAGGATGTAAAGTAGGAATCAAAGGATGGGGAACAATAATATAACTAATTCTAGACTTTCAGAAAAAGCCAGAAAATAACCTCTGAGAGAAAAATCCTAAAAATTATCAATTTTGTGTCTTCTGTTAAAAGAATTTTTGTGTGTGTGCTGCGTTCTGGGTGATTTTCAGAGTTAAATCTTCTGGGTCAGCAATTTATTCTCTTTTGTCTGCTATTCAGACATAGATCATATTGAATTTTTTAATTCAATAATATTATTTACATAAGATTTCTACTGGTTTCTTTTCATAACTTTTCTTGGCCTTATCTCAATTTCTTGTTCTTATGTCATTATAATACTATCACTTTATTTATTTACTTATCTATTTATTTATTTATTTTAACATTTATTTATTTTTGAGAGACAGAGAGAGATGGAGCGTGAGCTGGGGAGGGGCAGAGAGAGAGGGAGACACAGAATCCGAAGCAGCCTCCAGGCTCTGAGCTGTCAGCACAGAGCCGGACATGGGGCTCGAACCCACGAACTGGGAGATCATGACTGAGCCGAAGTCAGACGCTCAACCGACTAAGCCACCCAGGCGCCCCTATAATAAATAGTATCACTTTAATTGTCTCTTTTATACTTATATTTTAAATTATTTTAAATGTCCCATTTTAAAATGTCCTAACCTATAACTTATTCTGAGTTTTAAGTTTTTTTTTGTGTGTTTTTTCAGCGTACTGGTTTCCTTGAGTAGTTTATGTAAACTCTTATAAAACAGTTCGCGGCTGTGAGTCCCCACTGGGTGGTGATTATTTTGTGGGTGTGGCTCTGGCCTGGAGCTGGCTTGGGTTGTACAGCTCTGGTCTGAGCCTAATTTGGGCAGAGGAGCTCTTGCCCCCAGCCTCAGTTGGGTGTTATGGGTGTCCTGGCTGAACATTTTCAATTTCTCGTTCCTAGAGAATTCTTTTTACTTGTTTTCACCTGCAGGTTTTTTTTTTTTTTTAATTTTGTGGGGAGTGTAGCATGAGTGGGCAGAGGCAGAGAGAGAGAGAGAGAGAGAGAGAGGATCCAAAGCATGCTCTGTGTTGAGAGCAAAGAGCTTGATGTGGAATTCCAACTCATGAACAATGAGGTCATGACCTGAGCTGAAGTCAGATGCTTAACTGACTGAGCCACCCAGGTGCCCCTTCATCTGCAATTCTTTATTGTATTTTTCTATAATTTTTTTGTGTTTAGAGAAAGAGATCAAAGTTTCAGTATATGCTAACTCTTTCTTCTGGAGTTAGATGCCCAAGATTTAATTTTCTTTTTTTTTTTTACATTATAACTTCATAAGTTTTTGATACTTCTGCTTTTTCAACACCCTGCAATGACCCTGGAATTAAAAGTAAGTAGTGCCCATGACTCACTGGAACATAACTACACTGGGGGAATTTGTGTCTTTTCACATTCTCTGCCTAATGGAAATAAAACCCAGATGGGAAAAAGTGAAGAGTGAAAGTTGGGAATAAAAGTGGACAGCAGGTTGATTCTATAGGGCTTTTAACTGATTTAAAGGAGATGTATAGTGAGTAATATCAGTATAAATAAGTGGGTACAAGACAGTACTAATGAGCTGGAGGCCAGCATGGGCCTCCGAGGGTGTGTGCTGGAAAACGTCACAACTGTGCTCCATCACACCACTGTGAGATAATCTGGTGTGTGTCCCCAAGAGATAAGAGGAAATGGACCTGCATGTCAAATCAGCCTGCACCATTTGACATGATTATCTCACTTCCCATCAGATTGTCATTTATCTCTGAGGACTTTTGTCACTTATGATTAGGTAAATATTCACTTCTGACCATCTCTCTGGTTATCTTGTTCCTATATAGACTTTGCTACGATAGTTAAGAGTTCTTTGGTGAATTGCTACTGTCGACACAATAGCTGTCCTTGATGGCATCTGGTCTTTTACTCTTCCTTCAGTGGAAGCGACCTTGTTTCCGCTGAGGAACTCCACTGAGTCTTTTGACTGGGGGGCTAAGAAGAGAAAAAAGGGAGGGGAAAGGGCACAGAAAGTGTAATCTTGAAGTTCTTTCACTGTGTTGTAGCTCTGAGTTCTTTAGCCCACAGCTCAGCCTGTGCATCAACTTCCCCTCTCTCTTGTTGGAGCATCAGGACGTACTAGCAAGGGGAGACTCTTCCTAGTATCTCATCTCAGTCGTCCCCCTGGAAGTTGTTCCCCCAGGACTATGTGTCCTTTCTGCAGCTTCTGAGCTCTGTGATGGCGTCTGATCATTTCAGCACCTGCCACTCTTGGACAGAGTCCCTAGAGAGACTGTTTCTCTTCCAACTTGGGTATCCACGGAGGAGAGAATGTGAATGAGCTGCCACCCGTAGAGCTTCAAGGACTTTATAATCTGATAAACTAACAGGACCGAGCGCATCTGGCTTTCGACACTGATGCAGGAGAGGAAGCATAGCATTCCTAGCGAGAATTCACAAAATACCCCAGGCACGGCTTCCGGGCCCCACCACTGCGTGGGCTGCGCGTGTATGTAAGAAGTGAAGCAACATGTATGAGCATTCCTTACTTAGCATCTCTTGTTAGTCACGTGGACCCCTGCTCTCAGTTTTCCTGCAGCTGGATCACATGAATTATATTCTGCAATGGAGAATCTCAATAGCCAGCTTCTGGTAGCTGTGAGACGCACTGCAAAGAAGCAGGCAGCTTTAGAAACGTGCCTCATGTATGATCAGTCAATGTTGTTCTTTTCGTGAGTGTGACCCATTTTCACCTCTGGGTCTGGAGGCGAGTTGGAGAGTCCAGCCGGGAAGCACCCTCCTTCCAGTGGGGCAGGCCACACTTCTTGTTTCTTCTCCTTATTCTTTATGGTATTCCTCCCCCGCCCCCCAGAGTTGGGAAGCTATGCCAGACATTTAAAAGATTTACAGCATAGAAACCTACACTTCAAGATTAGTGTTTTCATAGGACAAGGGACATTCACCGAAGAAGGTAAACCCTTTGCAGAGGGGTCACCTCCTTTTGGATGCTCCCACTTTGCAATCTTGCTTCAGTCCCTTCAGATCCCCATCCTTCTGAAAATTTTTCTGCTCTGTCATCTAACTAGTAACCAAATGTCTACAAGCCTAATTCTTACCTAACCGCCATCACCCCACCTCCAGCATTACTGTCTCGCACCTGTTTCAAATATTTCTCTTTGCTTATCTTGATGTCTATAAATGAACTGTTGAATTCAAGCCTGACAAACCTCCCGTGTGAAAACATTAATTTTCGGGCTCAATGTATTCTATTGTGATGAGAGAGAAGGAATATATATTTTTAAACTGTGACAACTTGCAAGATTGTCTCTTTCAGAATGATCTTAACATTTTGCTTTATTAAGCGGAACACCAGAAATTTTTTCCCTACATTTCCCATTTCAGTTCTGCCTCCCTGTTTTCATAAAAATCAGCAACAGGCTTAAGAATGAGTCATACAATTTTCAATTGCCTCATACTGCTTGCTTGGAAAGTACATGATTAAATTCTCAGGCATCAGTGGCTAAATTATTTCAGTAATAGAGTTAGTGTGTGTGAAAATATAATTTACTTTCAACAATCAAGAGTCCTTGAATTTTGCTCTTTTTAATAGATAAAGAACTGGATAGGAGATAGTATAATTCTCACCCACCTGAACATATCGAGATACTACCCTTTTGTGCCAATTGAGGTAAGCTATTTTCTAGATAAGTGTGGCTTTATATAGAAAAAAGAATCATCTATTTTTGTTTCGTATATAGGAATTGGAAAATATTTAATTTTTAGTGATGTCTTCTAAAAAAAGTTTAAAAACCAATGTTCTGAAATAAGGGAGATACGCAATTTAGTGAATGGTTTGCAGTGACATTGTCTCCTTTCCTGCTTTCTCCACAGAAATGAGAAAAGAATAGAAAATTGTTTAGTTTAGGGACATCAAATAATGGATAGCAATTGAATATGTGAGATTCTCATAATGAGCTGCATTACTTTTAAAGCACAAGTTCCAGTAACTATCCACACTGCAAAATAGGATTTAGGAAGGATTTAAAAGAATAGGATTTAGAAAGACATAGCACTAGTTAAACCACAGGTCCTTGAAAGTGGCTAAGAAAAGAATAAAGATTCCTCTAGAAGTTCTTTTTTTCCATTTGCAACTATGTGGATAGATCTAGAGGGCATTATGCTACGCGAAATTAATCAGAAAGACAAATATCATATGACTTCACTCATATGAGAAATTTAAGATACAAAACAGATGAACCTAAGGTAAGGGAAGCAAAAATAATATAAAAACAGGGAGGGGGACAAAACATAAAGACTCTTTCTTAAATATAGGGAACAAACAGAGGGTTGCTGTAGTGGTTGTGTGTGTGTGGGGGTATGGGCTAAATGGGTAAGGGGCATTAAGGAATCTACTCCTGAAATCATTGTTCTTTTTTTTATGAATAAAGTTTGTCTTTTAACTGTTTTATTCGGAACTTGTTTCACACTTTTGTTTCTCAGGCTAGAGATCAGGGAGCTCAACAGGATGGTCACACAAATTCAGTGGCCAAATCACGGAATAAAGGAGGGCTCTGGTTCTGGGCTTTTGTCCACGGCCACAAAGAATTGCGGTTTGGTGGGCGATGTGGGCTGAGAAAGCTTCTCTGCTGAGATAATTTTTGGTATTACAATTCCACTGCAAATATAAGAATAATGGAAACAGGAGAGAGAGAGAGGGGAAAAAAGACCAACATTAGGAAAGCCTACCTTCTAGGCTTGTTTGCACGGGTCCCAGGTTAACTTTCGGAATGTTCCGGCAATGGTAGCCCACCTGTTTGGCACTGGATTAGGTTAACTGCAGGGTGAAGAGTGAGGAGATTTACACGTAACCAGCCTTCCACCCAGGTCCCTGTGACAGGTAGTGTATACAGCTCGTGCCGCATGGTGATAATACATTGTAGTTGATGGCACTGCATCACTGGGGACAGGAAAGTCTCTGTACCCAAGAAGAGAAAGATTAGGCCACAGAACCTCTGAAACGGATGACCTGTCTCTGCTCGAAAGGCAAGCCAATCGTTTGAAAACAGATTCATGTCGGGGTGCCTGGGTGGCTCAGTCAGTTGAGTGTCCAACTTCGGTTCAGGTCAGGATCTCGCAGTTCGTGAGTTCAAGCCCCGGGCCAGGCTCTGTGCCGACAGCTCGGAGCCTGGAGCCTGCTTGGGATCTGTGTCTCCCTCTCTCTATCCCTTCCCCGCTCATGTTCTGTCTCTCAAAAATGAATAAACGTT